AATTTTAAGTACATAAATATGTATGTAGTATGTATATTTTTTTTAAAGCTTACTGAGTAATTTTTTTTAAGCTTTCTATATGAATTTAATAATATTCAAAACTGTAGAATAAATAGAAATAAATTTTAAACGCATAATTATTATATCATGGGGGTAAACTTACAAAAATTAATTTCTCAAATAAAGAAAAGGTTTAGTCAAAAACAAAATAATAATTTTATTCAAATATGTATGTATGTATATATGAATATATGTATGTATGTATATATGAAAGTTTTAGAATTGAAGATTTTAATATTTTTCGTTCCAACATATGAACGTATGTACATATGAATGTATTAGAATGGAAAATTTTGAAATTTTGTTGTTGGGGCAATTAGAAATAAAGTTATTAATACAAGCACACGTTATTATGAATGTATACCTAGTTTTTTAAAACTGCGGGTGAACATATAGAAATAAATTTCTTAAATAAAGAAAAGGTTTAGGTTAAAATAAAATAATAATTGTATTCAAATATATATACGTATATATGAATATAATTTTTCAAATAAAGAAAAGGTTTAGGCAAAAACAAAATAATAATTTTATTCAAATATATGTATGTACATATGAATGTATTTTAAAATTTAGCATTTTACAGTTTTTCGTTTGGAACAATAAAAATAAAATTCTAACTACATACGTACATACATATGTTCTGTATATACATATATTTTTTTAAAGCTTGCTGACGAAACGTAATGTTCAAAACAATAACAAATGAAATATTAATATTCAGATGTCACAAAACATCTGATGTCTAATAAAAGCTGACATTTATTTACGTTAAGATTAGTTCGATTATCCGAACCAAAAATATTTGAGATCATTATATTTTCAAATATTATTTATTTCTCGGTTTGTGTTTCTAATAATAAAAATAACGTAAAACTTATCATTTATTTCTTGGTTTGTGTTTCTAATTATAAAAAGTATAAAAGAAAAACGTGCTTTTGTTATACAAAAATTTTTTCAGAAAATCTTAAAATAGAGCTATTTCGGTGCTAAAAACTTCCAATGTCAGATTTTTCTGGGACCCTAGAGGCAAAACTCTACATAATGCCTTTTGTCCCATGTTTCTAGCCCTTCTAGAAGTACCCGTACTTTTTACCACCTGAGAAGTAGCTCTATATATAAATATAATGTAAAAAAATAGGATGGTTTTTGAAGAGTAATACGAAATATGAATAAAATATAGAATTATAAAGGGAAATTCAAGGTACTGCGTAGCCTAGTGGTTAGCGTAGTAGTCTCATAGCAAGAAGGTTATTGGATCAATGCTTGCCTGGATGTGTCGTATTTTTATTTTTTTGGATTGTTTTAAAAAATTTTTTTTTATTTTGCTTAAATTTTGTGTTTTATTTTTTTTTAATATATAACATATAAATGTTATTATAAAAGTTTAAAGAAATTTTCCAAAAAAATCTATATTATATTTTTCAAGATTTTTCCGGTTCATGAACAGGTATACATATAATCTAATAAATAACAAAAACAAAAAAATGAAAATAGCAAAAGAGAATACTGGGTAGAAACATTACTCAATTGATTATACATACTGTAAAACAAAAACAAAAAATGAAAAGCGAAAAGCGAAAAGCGAAAGAGAATAAAAAAAGGGTAGTAATATTTTTTTTGTTTTTTTGCTTTACTACCATAAACAAAAATAAAAAGCAAAAGGAAGCGAAATATTTTAAATGAGTTAAGTAAGAGTAAAATAATTTTTTGTTGTTGTATTTAACATGGAATGGAATTAAAAAAAATAAAACTAAAAATTGTGAGAGATATGAGAACACGAATAACGTTACGTTACGTACTAAGGCAATTGTTCTTCGTGTGCTTGCGAAATTTCAATTGAGTAAGTAGCCAAGTCAGGTCTGTATAAAGAAAAGAGGAATTGATTTTTTATTAATTCACATTTACTTTGGTTTTAAAGTTTAGCGTAAAAGGTAATTTTCCTTTTAATTTTGTTCGGCATCAGTTCCCCATCCGTCTTGCATATGCCATGACTATAAATAAGTCCCAAGGGCAAACTTTTGAAAAGGTTGGCCTCTATCTCCCCCAGCCGTGCTTTTCGCATGGGCAATTATACACAGTATGTTCAAGAGCCATAGACTCCAATTCTTTAAAAATTCAAGTCAAAGATACGGTTCGTCAGGGAAAAATCGATGATGGAAATATTTTAACAGATAACGTTGTTTATAAGGAAATTTTTCGTTCTTAATTGTTAACTAATTCTTAAATTGAATTTTAATCATATCTATGTAATTAACAGTGACACATATTACATCTTAAAATTTATTAAATTAAAAATATTTCCATTACTTTTATTTATCATTAGTATTCAAACCAATATGATATTTATGCATATACAAGTATATACCTGCATATGTATGCCATAATATGTACAAATTTTTCTAAACTTATTTTAAAATTGATTGCCACAATCCTGTTTTTACAGCAGATAATGCTGCTTATAAGCAAACCACAGGGGCCCCTAGTTTTCTTATAATAGTTTGGAAAAATTCGCAAAAATTTTAAGTACATAAATATGTATGTATGTATATTTTTTTTAAAGCTTCCTGAGTAATTTTTTTAAGCTTTCTATATGAATCTAATAGTTTTCAAAACTGTACAAAATATAGAAATAAATTTTAAACGCATAATTATTATATCATGGCGGTAAACTTACAAAAATTAATTTCTCAATAAAGAAAAGCTTTAGTCAAAAACAAAATAATAATTTTATTCAAATATGTATATATGAATATTTGTATGTATGTATATATTAATGGATTAGAATTGAAGATTTTAAAGTTTTTTCTTTCCAATATATGAACGTATGTACATATGAATGTATTAGAATCGAAAATTTTGAAATTTTGCTGTTGGAAAAATTAGAAATAAAATTATAAATGCAAACATACATAATTATGAATGGATACCTGTTTTTTTTTAAACTGTGGGTAAACATATAGGATTGAATTTTAAACATAAAGAAAAGGTTTAGTCAAAAACAAAATAAGAATTTATGTATGTAAAAATATATGTATGTACGTATATATGAATATATGTATGTATGTATATATGAATGGACTAGAATTGAAGATTTTAAAATTTTTCGTTCCAACATATGAACGTATGTACATATGAATGTATTAGAATCGAAAATTTTGAAATTATGCTGTTGGAAAAATTACAAATAAAACTATAAATGCAAACATACATAATTATGAATGGATACCTGTTTTTTTTAAACTGTGGGTAAACATATAGGATTGAATTTTAAACATAAAGAAAAGGTGTAGTCAAAAACAAAATAATAATTTATGTATGTAAAAATATATGTATGTAAATATGAATATATGTATGTATGTATATATGAATGGATTAGAATTGTAGATTTTAAAATTTTTCGTTCCAGCATATGAACGTATGTACATATGAATGTATTAGAATCGAAAATTTTGAAATTTTGCTGTTGGAAAAATTAGAAATAAAACTATAAATGCAAACATACATAATTATGAATGGATACCTGTTTTTTTTAAACTGTGGGTAAACATATAGGATTGAATTTTAAACATAAAGAAAAGATTTAGTCAAAAACAAAATAATAATTTATGTATGTAAAAGTATATGTATGTATGTATATATAAATATATGTATGTATGTATATATGAATGGATTAGAATTGAAGATTTTAAAATTTTTCGTTCCAACATATGAACGTATGTACATATAAATGTATTGGAATGGAAAATTTTGAAATTTTGCTGTTGGGATAATTAGAAATAAAATTATTAATACAAATACACGTTATTATGAATGTATACCTAGTTTTTTAAAACTGCGGGTGAACATATAGAAATAAATTTCTTAAATAAAGAAAAGGTTTAGATTAAAATAAAATAATAATTGTATTCAAATATATATATGTACATATGAATGTAATTTTTCAAATAAAGAAAAGGTTTAGGCAAAAACAAAATAATAATTTTATTCAAATATATGTATGTACATATGAATGTATTAAAATTTAGCATTTTACAGTTTTCCGTTTGGAACAATAAAAATAAAATTCTAACTACAGACGTACATACATATATTCTGTATGTACATATATTTTTTTAAAGCTTGCTGACGAAACGTAATGTTCAAAACAATAACAAATGAAATATTAATATTCAGATGTCACAAAACATCTGATGTCTGATAAAAGCTGACATTTATTTACGTTAAGATTAATTCGATTATCCGAACCAAAAATATGTGAGATCATTATATTTTCAAATATTATTTATTTCTCGGTTTGTGTTTCTAATAATAAAAATAACGTAAAACGTATCATTTATTTCTTGGTTTGTGTTTCTAATTATAAAAAGTATAAAAGAAAAACGTGCTTTTGTTATACAAAAATTTTTTCAGAAAATCTTAAAATAGAGCTATTTCGGGGCTAAAAAGTTCCAATATCAGATTTTTCTGGGACCCTAGAGGCAAAACTCTATCTAATGCCCTTTGTCCCATGTCTCTAGTCCTTCTAGAGCCTAGTAGCGTAGCCTAGTGGTTAGCGTGGTAGTCTTATATTCAGAAGGTTATTCTATCAATGCTTGCCTGGATGTTGTCGTGTTTTTATTTTTTTGGATTATTTTAAATTTTTTTTTTTTATTTTGTTTAAATTTTGTGTTTTATTTTTTTTTAATATATAACAGATAAATGTTATATAAAAGTTTAAAGAAAATTTCCAAAAAAAATATTCTTATAATAGTTTGGAAAAATTCGTAAAAATTTTAAGTACATAAATTTGTATGTGTGTATATATTTTTTTAAAGCTTCCTGTGTAGTTTTTTTTAAGCTTTCTATATGAATTTAATAATATTCAAAACTGTAGAATATATCAAATAAAGAAAAGGTTTAGTCAAAAACAAAATAATAATTTTATTCATATATATGCATATATGCGCTATATCAGACTGAAGGGTAAATTCCAAAATTTATCAATACTGTCGGTATATGCACCAACTGAAGATGCCGAAGAAAATAACAAAGATAATTTCTACGATAAATTAACGGCCTACTGCAACAAAATAAGCAGACATGATATGCTAATTACTATTGGCGATTACAATGCGAAAATAGGCAAGGAATATTTTGTAGGAGAAGTTGCTGGACAACATTCTCTACACAATATCAGTAATAACAACGGTATTCGCGCATGTAGCTTTGCTGCAAGTCAAGGAATGTGGATTAGCAGTGTTTCCTTTCCACACAAAAATATACATAAGGAAACCTGGAAAATACCTGGAATGAGGGGTGCTAATCAAATTGACCATGTTATGATCGACAAAAGACACGCAATTTCTATAGCTGACGTTAGATCATACAGAGGTGCGAATTGCGACTCAGATCACTACTTAGTTGTTGCTAAAGTACATCAACGTATTTCAAATGTGAGTAGTAGAAACAGCTTCAAAAGAACTATATGGAACACAAGCAAAATTATTGAAAGTACTTCAGAACGTGTAAGATTTCAGCAAAAAGTAGAAGAAAAGATTAATAGAAATCAACGTGAAAACGAGACTAATGTATCTGATAAATGGAACAACATAAAAAGTATACTGAGCCATGCAGCAAATGAAACAATCGGCAAAAAAATCAATAATACAAATGAATGGTACGATCAAGAATGCAAACAATTGAACGAATCGAAAACGCAAGCTAAAAGGAAATGTTTAGGTGCACCAACGAGACAAAACTTACAAGACTACCAACAAAAAAGAAAAATCGCTAAGAAAGCGATAAGGAAAAAGAAAAAGCAGTACATTAAAGAAAAAATTGAAAAAATAGAAAACGATTTTAAACAAAACAAAGTAAAAAATATGTACTCAAATATTAAAAAACAAACAAAGAAATTTCAGCCCCGAATAAACATATGCAAAGATAAAAATGGAAATATCATAAAAGACAAACAAAAAATCATAACAAGATGGATGCAGCATTTCCGCGAACTCCTGAACAGCGAAAATGAAAACGAATTTAATAATGATAATAACAACCATGATACAATATTATACCGTACGGTCGAAAATGTGATGGAGCTACCCACACTTAATGACATTAAAAAAGCTTTAAATAAGCTAAAAAACAACAAAAGTGGAGGTGAAGACTCTATCACTGCAGAATTATTAAAATACGGCAGTACAAAAGTATATAGTGAATTACATAGCATAGTATGTCAAATATGGCAAGAAGAGACCATACCACAAGAATGGCTTACGAGCATCATAATTCCAATTCATAAGAAAGGAGACAAGAAAATATGCAACAATTATCGTGGTATATCACTATTAAATACTGGATACAAAGTATTCACAAATGTATTATACGATAAAATTAATTTATTTGCTGAAGAAATATTGGGCGACTATCAGTGCGGTTTCAGACAAAATCGATCTACGACAGACCAATGCTTCATACTGTGTCAAATCTTTGAAAAATTTTTTGAATATTCTATTGACATACATTGTGTGTTCGTGGATTTTAAGCAAGCGTTTGACAGCATAAATAGGTCAAGAATAGAGCAAATTCTTCAAATTAATGGCATACCCAAGAAATTAATTAAATTAACAATGATGACACTTACAAATACAGTTGCCAAGGTACTTATTCAGGGAGAATTATCAAACTCGTTTGAAATAAGTTCAGGCGTAAAACAAAGCGATGCACTATCGTCTTTAATTTTTAATCTTGTGTTAGATAGCGTTGTTAAAGATGTAGATCCCGGCGGCACAATATTCAATAAAAGCGTGCAAATATGTGCTTATGCCGATGACATCGTGATACTTTCAAGAAATCTGAACGACTTGAAAGAGACTTTTGAAAAACTTGAAACGACAGCTATAACAATGGGGTTAAATATAAATACAGACAAAACAAAGTATATGCTTCGAACCAACAATAAATCCCGATCACCACAGAATTTAATTATCTTGGCATGTTATTAAGTTCTGATAAGGATACATCAATTGAAATATTACAACGAATTCAATCTGCAAACAAAACATATTATGCCCACAGAAAACTACTACACTCAAAGCTTTTATCAAGAAACCAAAAATTACAAATGTACAAAACACTGATAAGGCCGGTTCTAACATATGGATGTGAAATTTGGACATTAAAATCTACCGACATCAGTGCACTTGCATCGTTCGAAAGAAAAATACTTAGAGGTATATATGGACCAATAAGATCTGACGACGGTTCTTACCGAATTAGGTATAATCACGAAATCGAAAATTTAATAGAAAAGCGAAATGTAATTAGGTTCATAAAAGCAGAAAGAATTGGATGGCTGGGACATCTATTAAGAATGGATGATGCAAGAGTAGTTAAAGAAGTTTTTAAAAGCGTGCCTGAAGGATATAGGAGACGTGGCCGGCCAAGAAAAAGATGGATCGAAGACGTAGAAGCAGATTTAAGATCAATGACCGTCGTTAATTGGAACAATCTTGCAAAGCAGAAAGATCAATGGCGGGCGGTGGTAGCAGAAGCTATTGTTCACCCCGGACTGTAAAGCTAAGATGATGATGATATGTATGTATGTATGTATGAATATGTGTATGTATGTATATATGAATGGATTAGAATTGAAGATTTTAAAATTTTTCGTTCCAACATATGAACGTATGTACATATGAATGTATTAGAGTCAAAAATTTTGAAATTTTGCTGTTGAAAAAATTAGAAATAAAATTATAAATGCAAACATACATAATTATGAATGGATACCTGTTTTTTTTAAACTGTGGGTAAACATATAGGATTGAATTTTAAACATAAAGAAAAGGTTTAGTCAAAAACAAAATAATAATTTATGTATGTAACAATATATGTATGTATGTATATATGAATATATGTATGTATGTATATATGAATGGATTAGAATTGAAGATTTTAAAATTTTTCGTTCCAACATATGAACGTATGTACAAATAAATGTATTAGAATCGAAAATTTTGAAATTTTGCTGTTGGGACCATTAGAAATAAAATTATTTATACAAACACACGTTATTATGAATGTATACCTAGTTTTTTAAAACTGCGGGTGAACATATAGAAATAAATTTCTTAAATAAAGAAAAGGTTTAGGTTAAAATAAAATAATAATTGTATTCAAATATATATATGTACATACGAATGTAATTTTTCAAATAAAGAAAAGGTTTAGGCAAAAACAAAATAATAATTTTATTCAAATATATGTATGTACATATGAATGTATTAAAATTTAACATTTTACAGTTTTTCGTTTGGAACAATAAAAATAAAATTCTAACTACATACGTACATACATATATTCTGTATGTACATATATTTTTTTAAAGCTTGCTGACGAAACGTAATGTTCAAAACAATAACAAATGAAATATTAATATTCAGATGTCACAAAACATCTGATATCTCATAAAAGCTGACATTTATTTACGTTAAGATTAATTCGTTTATCCGAAACAAAAATATGTGAGATCATTATATTTTCAAATATTATTTATTTCTCGGTTTGTGTTTCTAATAATAAAAATAACGTAAAACGTATCATTTATTTCTTAGTTTGTGTTTCTAATTATAAAAAGTATAAAAGAAAAACGTGCTTTTGTTATACAAAAATTTTTTCAGAAAATCTTAAAATAGAGTTATTTCGGGGCTAAAAAGTTCCAATATCAGATTTTTCTGGGACCCTAGAGGCAAAACTCTGTCTAATGCCTTTTGTCCCATGTTTCTAGCCCTTCTAGAAGTACCCGTACTTTTTACCACCTGAGAAGTAGCTATATATACTTATATAATGTAAAATATTATGGTTTTTAATGAGTTATACGAAATATGAATAAAATATAGAATTATTAAGGGAAATTCAAGGTACTGCGTGGCCTAGTGGTTAACGTGGTAGTCTTATAGCCAGAAGGTTATTAGATCAATGCTTGCCTGGATGTTGTCGTGTTTTTATTTTTTTGGATTTTTTTAAAAAATTTATTTTTTATTTTGTTTAAATTTTGTGTTTTATTTTTTTTTAATATATAACATATAAATGTTATTATAAAAGTTTAAAGAAAATTTCCAAAAAAATATTCTTATAATAGTTTGGAAAAATTTGCAAAAATTTTAAGTATGTCTGTATATTTTTTTTAAAGTATCCTGAATAATTTTTTTAAGCTTTCTATATGAATTTAATAATATTCAAAACTGTAGAATATATAGAAATAAATTTTAAACGCATAATTATTATATCATGGGGGTAAACTTACAAAAATTAATTTCTCAAATAAAGAAAAGGTTTAGTAAAAAACAAAATAATAATTTATGTATGTAAAAATATATGTATATACGCATGTATGAATATATGTATGTATGTATATATGAAAGTTTTAGAATTGAAGATTTTAATATTTTTCGTTCCAACATATGAACGTATGTACATGTGAATGTATTACAATGGAAAATTTTGAAATTTTGCTGTTGGGACAATTAGAAATAAAATTATTTATACAAACACACGTTATTATGAATGTATACCTAGTTTTTTAAAACTGCGGGTGAACATATAGAAATAAATTTCTTAAATAAAGAAAAGGTTTAGGTTAAAATAAAATAATAATTGTATTCAAATATATATATGTACATATGCATGTAATTTTTCAAATAAAGAAAAGGTTTAGGCAAAAACAAAATAATAATTTTATTCAAATATATGTATGTACATATAAATGTATTAAAATTTAGCATTTTACAGTTTTTCGTTTGGAACAATAAAAATAAAATTCTAACTATATACGTACATACATATATTCTGTATGTACATATATTTTTTTAAAGCTTGCTGACGAAACGTAATGTTCAAAACAATAACAAATGAAATATTAATATTCAGATGTCACAAAACATCTGATGTCTGATAAAAGCTGACATTTATTTACGTTAAGATTAATTCCATTATCCGAACCAAAAATATGTGAGATCATTATATTTTCAAATATTATTTATTTCTCGGTTTGTGTTTCTAATAATAAAAATAACGTAAAACGTATCATTTATTTCTTGGTTTGTGTTTCCAATTATAAAAAGTATAAAAGAAAAACGTGCTTTTTTTATACAAAAATTTTTTCAGAAAATCTTAAAATAGGCTTATTTCGGGGCTAAAAAGTTCAAATATCAGATTTCTCTGGGACCCTTTTTCTGAGAACCAAACCTCTATCTAATGCCTTTTGTCCCATGTCTCTAGCCCTTCTAGAAGTACCCGTACTTTTTACCACCTGAAAAGTAACTATATATATATATAATGTAAAATATGACGGTTTTTGATGAGTTATACGAAATACGAATAAAATATAGAATTATTAAGGGAAATTCAAGGTACTGCGTGGCCAAAATAAAGCCAAAAGGTTATTAGATCAATGCTTGCCTGGATGTTGTCGTGTTTTTATTTTTTTGGATTATTTTAAGAAATTTATTTTTTATTTTGTTTAAATTTTGTGTTTTATTTGTTTTTAATATATAACATATAAATGTTATTATAAAAGTTTAAAGAAAATTTCCAGAAAAATATTTTTATAATAGTTTGGAAAAATTTGCAAAAATTTTAAGTAGATTCGTAGATTCGTAGATTCCAAGGGATCTGAGTGGGACAGGAGCATCCCCCCAAGCCACCGTAGCCATTTTTGACTTATTGTAGCCACCCCACTCCCCCGTCTATAATATCCCCGTCCCAATCACAAAGCCAGAGATATCCCTAAGGGAGTTGGACAACAGTTCCCGAACACTTGGGGACCCATGTCCAAGACAATTGCGGCGCCGAACAGCCAGTGCCGGACAGTCGCAGAGAATGTGTACGGCGGTCTCATCGCCATCCCCACAAAATCTGCAAAGGGGGGAGCCCGCCTTCCCCAGCCTATGCAGGTGGTACTTCACCGGGCAGTGCCCCGTGAAGAAATTCGCAATAGTGCGAACCCGGCTCCTGCTCATGCCCAGTAACTCCGCAGCGAATTCGCTGGAGCACGCCGGAAGAAACACTTTCGCATGACGGCACCCTTTCATGTCCCGCCAGTGACGGACGCATTCCGCCGCGAGTAGGCAGGCAAGCCTGGCCCTCACCGCGGAAGAAGGCAGACCGCAGAAAGGCAGCGGCTGCACAAAGGCAGCCCCAGATCCCCTCCGCGCCAACTCATCGGCAACTTCGTTGCCCGCATGGCCACTATGGCCCGGCACCCAAATGAGCATTACTCTGTTCTCCGATGCCAATTCCATAAGTGCAGCAAGGCAGTTCCAGACCAGCTTGGATGTAACCTGAGCTGAACGGAGTGCCAGCAGTGCAGCCCTGCTGTCTGAGAACACATAGATGGTGCGGTTTCTATACCCCCTTTCCAAATTGATTCTCAGACAGATCTCTATTGCATGTATTTCGGCCTGGAACACTGTGCAATACGGGTCAAGGGTTGCATTTATACGCGTGTCCGGGCGGACACCGTATACGCCCGAACCCACACCCGACTCCGTCTTGGACCCGTTCGCATACCACAAGCTCGAACCAGACCTAAGTACCGGACCACCCCGATCCCACGTCCATCGATCGGGAAACAGAACTCTGTACCTGTGGTCGAAGTTGTACCGCGGCAGACAGGTATCTGACATGGTTATTCTTAGAATCGGATCGCCCTCAATGAAGCCTCTGTGAGTCCTGTGGGCCAACTTTAGCCCTGCCCCGTCCTCGCCAGAGAGAAGTCGGTAAGTCACCAGCCAAGCTTTCTTCAATATATGGAGGTGCAGTGGCGGCAATCCGATCATCACCTCCAATGCAGTGGTGGGAGCCGTCCGCATCGCCCCGGTCACTCCCAGGCAGGCCAGCCTCCGTAGCTTTTCCAGCTTGGCCCGCACACCCGCCTGTTGAGCCTTACGGCACCATACAATCGACGCATAGGTGACGATGGGCCTAGCAAGGGCCGTATATAGCCACAGTGCTATTCTGGGACTAATTCCCCAGGTCCCCCCGATGAAGCTCCTACACGTCCACAAGGCCGCCGTAGCTCTCCCGATAACTCTATCGATATGGGTATTCCAAGAGAGACGATCATCCAGGGTTACCCCCAGATACTTCACCTCCCTCGAGTAACTAATACGTTCACCAAACAGGCTCGTTAATCTGTCCCTGCTTCTGCGTCTGGTGAAGGCGACCAAAGTGCTCTTGCTTGGATTTATATTTAACTCAACGCCTTTGCACCACCTTTCCACAACACGTAAATTTTGCTGTAGAAGATCAGAAATAGTGCTCTCAAATTTTCCCCGCACGACGAAGGCCACATCGTCAGCGTATTCCCAGACACGCGCCCCGGAGCCCCTGAGAGCAGCGATTAGATCATCCACTACAATGGACCACAGGAGGGGCGAAAGAACCCCGCCCTGCGGACATCCTTTTGCAGCGGAGATGAAGAGTATATCGTCAGCTATGGTGGACTTAATAATCCTATCCTGTAGCATCCGATTAACCCATCTGCTAGTCGTCGCATCAATCCCTCGTTTGTGC